GAAACACAAAGCAAGAATTGACGTTATCGAGATTAAGAGTATGAGAAAGCTGTTTTAGCCTCGTGTTACGTGCTCCCCCCCCCCCCTCGTATGTACCTGATGATACTATAAGTAAAATGTAAACTATGTAAAAAGCAATAAATATTATATAAGGAATTCTACTCAGCAGTGGGAGCAAATTATGATATGTTAAAAAAGGGGGGGAAAACTACGGTTTTTCTTTCTTTTTTTTTTCTTTTTTTTTCTTGTTTATTTATTATTATTATTTTTTTGGTTCATTAATTTAATTTTTTTTATTTGTAGTTTGAGGTTTTTTAAGTTGAGTTTTTTTTATTTCGTTTCGTTTTTGCTTTTGCTTCTTTTTTTCTGAAAATCAATAATATTGCGGCCGCGTAGCAGGCTAAGAGACAGGCGTCGATGATATGCTAATAATCTGATTTCTCCGGGCTAATCAGACTTCTTCTACAGACTCTGGCTGGGGAAGAAATGTTTGCTTTACTAAAGTAAAGGTCTGTTGAGAGGAACAGAGCAAAGCCAATATATATATATATATCTATATCTATCTATCTATATATATATATATATATATATCTATCTATCTATCTATCTATATATATATATATATATATAAACACAGAACACTAATGACAGGACTTCGATCAGTCAGTGGGTGGTTGGCGAGTGCCCTGGTGAGGTTTGCTCTTTCTTTCAGCTGCTCTATCAAACAAACTCCTATCGTCCTTATCTGTCTGCTCCCCACCTTCTTTTTTGTGTTTGTTACTCTCTTGTAACGCCTCTACTATTTTGCATTTACATCACCTTATTGTGTTGCAAGTGCCCTAAAACACTTACTAAAACTAACGACACAGTTAAAATTTTATGTCATTTAAGAGGCGGGCTTTGATCCAGGCTGTCAGGGACAACCCCCGGGGTGAGAGGGATAGAATAACACCCCAGCAGAAAGACCGAGACAGGCCTACGCCTCGATTAAAATGTTTCCACCACGGGAATCGAAGTTGGGAGTTCTGCGTGCGACAACGAAGGGTCTTCTTACAGCTACACTCCAGGAACCCGTCATTTGGCCAACGTCATAATATTCTGTTTGAAAAAAAAGAAAAAAAAAAGAAAATACAAAAGACGCTCAGATTAAATGTTTTTTTTGTTGTTGTTGTTTTGTTTTTGTGTTTGTGCTTGCGGTGCTTGTTTTTTGTTTTGGGGGTTTTCTTTGGGAGAGGGGGGGTTGTATTGTTTTGGTTTGGGTTGT